GAGCTGCCTGGGTGCAGCCAACTCTGCCCACCAGGCCCCACACCACCCCATCTGCAGATGCATGGTTCTCAGAGCATAAACCTGAGTCAGAGCACACCACGCCTTTCCCCAAAACTTCCCTCTGACCTTGAAGTAAAGTCCAACTTGTAATTTTGGGCTTCCAGGCCCTATAGGATGGGCCCCTGCTGACCTCTCCTGCTCACCTCCCAGCCCACTCCTTCCTTCTCAGTGAGGCCTTTGCAGCCAATCTTCCTCCTGTGCAGAGATCTGCCCATGTGCCACTCCTCACTCCATGGCCCGTGAGCTCCATGGGGACAGTGACTCTGCAAGTGCCCCACAACACAATGTGTGGCTCCAAGCAGGGCCCAGGAGCTCTGCCTCCTGGGCGCGGGTCCCTCAGCCTGTAGTGCCCGACCAGTGGCATCAGGGGACACTCAAGCGTGCCTCTGACTTCTCCTAAAGGAGGCGGTTCACAGCTCTGGCAGAAATAAATACTAGTGCGGCACTGGGAAGGTGGGGAAGTGGGGGGAGGAGTGGGTGGGCACCCATGAAGGGCTGGGGCCTGAGAAGAAGAGAGGGGAGGAGAAGGTTCCTGGGAGGCGGGAGGGGCCGAAGGACCTCGAGGTGGGACTACACCGTTGCCTGGTGGCACACCTCCCATGGCCACTTCTCCTGCTGGCCACCTTTTCACCTGGAGTCCTTAGTGCTCTGGGGAGTAAGAGTGGGGCTGGGACCTGGAGACACTGAGTACAGCCCCAAGTGCCCAGCCCAGGCAGAATCAGAGGAGCCCAGAAGTGTGAGCGCGGGCCCGCCTGGAACCAGGTGCACGAGGATGCTGGCTGCACCACACGTGGATGTGCCTGGGCTGGCACCCTGATGGCCAATGCCTGGGCTGAAGTGTTCATCCAGGGCAAGTGGCTAAATTCAACCAATGATATTATGTTAAATATAGTGTTAAAATGTCCAAACCCAGTGGGAGAGGTGTATTTTTTATATTCACATTTCGGTTTATTATAGAAGTAAAAACAACCAATCCACCACCACCAGCTGCCTTTGTGGGGCGGGGCTCTTCTCATGAGAGTTGAAAATGAGGCTTGAACAGTGGCATCACAGCTGGAGGGTGGTAGGGTGCAGGCCCCAGGTCCCGGAGGGGTGCAGAGTGCTGGATGGGGCAGGCACAGGACCTGGCCCACAGGGTGGCTCAGGGTGCTGGGCTCTGTCTGCTCCCCTGGACGAGGTACCCACAGGACTGTGCTGACAGCCATGCCTGGCCCACACATGCCTGGGTCCAGCCTACGGCTGGGTCCAGGGGTCATCCCTCCTGAACCTACAGGGCTGTTGCTGGACCAGCCCTTGCCCGGAAGCCTGCTGAGTCTGCATCCAGATGGCCAGTGGCATGCCCCCATCTGCAGCCACTCCCGTGCCAGTTGCTCACTTGTGAAGTAATGTCACAAAGGCATCGCTGGGCAGGGTTGTGAAGGGCCCTGCCACACTCTGCTGGCTGGAGCTCATTTTGCTGGGTGGGGATCGAAGCCAAGGTCCCAGCTTGGACCCTGACTTCGGAGTCTAGGCGCACACTCAACCAGCAAGGTGACCCCAGGTAGGCGCTGTACCCCTCTGGGCATCCTGAGTAGATCATAGGCATCTGTTTCATGTGGGGAGACAAGAACTGGCAGCAGGGACCCAGGCTGGGCTGTGCTCTCAGGCCCATGGGCCACCGGTGCTCAAGGCCTGGGGTAGCATCTGGTTCTAGTAGGAGGGGACAAAGTGCCATGTCACTCTAGACATAAAGTAGCTATTAGGGGAGCATCTTTGTAGTGTTCAGAAGCCAGGCTGGGTGCTTCCTGGTGTCCTGGTGCCTCCCGAGCATCCTCTGCTGGTGGCTTTGGGAAAAAGGGGTCCAGGCTCAGAGGTCTCTGCTATCCGTTCCTTTGGTGGCCTGTCCAGTGGCCTCATGGGGCTGATGATCAGGTGGGAGGAAGGCTGAAATCAAATCTTCGCAGAGAGCTGGGGCTTTAGTGAACCCATTCACTGTAACTCAAAGACTGCCATCAACTTTATTATTATCTTGTTAAATAGTTTAGATCTTTTTGGAACACATGGTATGCAAGGGTGCGGTAGGTTTTTTCCCCAGCACATTTTTGTGAGTGACAGTAAAGGTGACACAGACAGGCAGTGTGTGTGTGGGGAAGGGCCTGGGGGCCAGGCCCTGCACCTGTGTCATGCACTATGACAGCCTCTGGACCCTCCACCAGGCAAACCTGAGACCCAAGTCTCACAGTCAGGTGACATCAAGGGAGCAGGTCCAGTGGGGACAGTGAGGATCACTGTCACATGTGCACTAGACGTATCCTAAAGAAACAATACACAGTGGGGGAGTTTTGTTGGCAAGCCCTTGCTCGCTGCACGGCCGCCTGTCCTGCAAGCGTCTCGTGGCGTGACAGTGGGCTGTTGATCTCTGTGGTGCTGACTGGGACGGGGGGTCTCTCTCCTGCCGTGGGGTGGGGGTTGCTGGGCAGTGTGAGCTGGAATTGGGGCACGGAGCTGAGCAGATTGGCTCCAACCTTCAGAGGGTCCTTGGCCGCTCCCCTCTTAGGGCCGAGGCTTGAAATGCCAGGGCACTGACGTCAGGCCAGCGGGCAGAAAACAGGGTGCCCCTGAAGCCGTGAGAATGTCTGCTGATTGCCTACTGGCATGAAGCAATGCTGGGAGGCCCTCTGGGCCCTCCCTGCAGGCTTCCTGGGTAGAATCCATGGTGTTCATCTCTCATTCACAGCATGGGAGGTGCCTCAGGTGCAGACCCAGGCCCTGGAGGGAAGAACCGGGTGTTTCTCAAATGGGGCTCTTCCAGACTGTCAGCTGCTTCGTCTGATTCTGGGCCAGGCAGGAGGGGCTGGGACCTTCTCCAGACATGGCCACAGCTGCATCTGCTATGATGGCACCAGCTGCGGGTCAGGACAAGGAATCGTCTAGATTCAGAAAGGCCTTCCCTGGGCTCCCTTCAGATTGAAGTTATGAAAAGTCACAGCAGCTCAAAGAGTCTCTGAAGTTCTCATGAAAAACAATCTGTAGACTCGTTCTTCTCACACTCAGGGGAAGGCGCATTGTAACTGGTAGTGTGGCAGAGCCCATGGCCCCCGGTGGTTAGCTGCTTGGCTGGGCTCAGGGGAGGACCCCCTTCCAGTTCCTTATTTGTGCTTTGAGATAGGAATATGGTACACCCCTCTTTGGCCCTGGGGAGGCAAGTGAAAAAAGGCCTTCCCCAGGGAGGGGAGGGCTGCGTGGAGGGACAGCATTTAGGGAGGGGCTTGGGAGGCCGCAGCTCACGTTTGGCTCCACCAAGATCACTGTGACAGTCAGACTCTCAAATTCCTTATCAGAAAACGGGGATCACGCCACCGCCCACCAGGGTGAGAAGAAGCGATCGAAGGGACATTCCCATGGGAGCTCCTGGCCCTGGACTGGGCCCTGTAGACCCTAAGCTACGTGGAATCTGATCTGAAGGGGAGAAGGGCTGTGGGGGTCCATGGGCCAGCCCTGGGCAGTCGTGGTGATGGTGTATGGGGGGCCCTGGAGCCTGGGTTTTGCTCTCCATAGCTAGGAAGAATGTAGACAGGGAGAAGGAAACACCTCCAGGCTGAATCAAAGTAGATGAGCTCCCAGCCTGGGCCCCAGCCCTCTGCTCCCCCACTAGGCACACCCTCAACTATGGGAGGCCAGAGCCTGGCGGGCTTTGCTGGGGCCTCCTTAGCAGCTGTTGTCTGCGAAGAAGGGCGCTCGGGCTGATGGGGCGAAGTCGCTCTCCTTGCGCGGCCCTACCAGCTCCCCGTACTCGCTGTTGTAGAACACCTGGCCTCCCCGGGCTGCCCAGTCTGGCCGCCGCCGCCGCCCCTGGGGGTCAGGGTGCACCCTGGTCACGTCCACATTCCAGCCAGGTCCTTTACAGCTGCCGAGACAGGGAAGGTGGTGTCAGTAGGACACGGGGAAAGAAGAGACTGGACCTGGGGCAAAGTGAGTGCAAAGCCAACGGAAACACACGCAGATTCCACCTAACTCGCAAACCAGACCAACGTGACTGTTGGCAAACACCGGCGTTTTCTCCGTCCCCAGCCTGGGCATGGGACAACAGACAATGCCCAACTTCATCTCCTCACACCTGCTTCTTGCCCAGTCTTGCCATAAATGGCACCAGTGTGGACTCTGTGGTCCATGCATCTGGTTGTCATTCTTGCTTCCTCCCTTCCCCATACTCCCCATATCTAACCCATCCAGAAGTCCTGTCCGTTCTATCCCTGACCCTCTCTTTACGTCCTGCCCCTGCTCTGGAGCAAGCAGCCACCACTGCAGGCTGTGCGCCATCCTCCCAGCACATCTCCACCCCCACTCATCCCCCGCTCTAGTCCACTCCTCACAGGTCCTTGAAGTTAGATGTCCCTCTCCTGCCAACATGCCCTCCAGTGGCTTCCCATCCCTCCCAGCATGAAACCTAAGCTTCTCACCCTGATCTTGGAGGCCCTGCAAATTCCAGCCCCGCCTGCCACTGACGACCCTAGGATGCTCCCTTCTCAGCTCTTGCTTTCTTTGTGTGAGCTCTTTGAAAATGCTGCTTCACTGCTTTTGTTTTGTTTTTGCTTTGCATGGTGCTAGCCTGATGCCAACCTCTTGTTTTCTTTGTGAGTTGGTTTTTTTGCCTGAATTCCCAGAATGTTTATCTTTAAAATCTAATAGTTCGACTAAGATATGTCTCTGAGTTTACTCTCTGGGCCAGTTTTCCCAGATGTATATTCGGGTCTTTTAATTAGGAGAGTTATCTAGAATTACAAGTTTAAAATATTAGTTCTAGTCCACTGTCAACATTTTCTTCTTCAGAGACTCCAATTTTCCGCATATTGGTTCTTTCTTTTCTACTCAACTTCTATATCACTTTCTTTTTTATTCTTTTCACCTCTTTCTTTCCATTTTGTTTTCTTGACTCCTTTCATGCCCATCTTCTGTGACCTCCGTTGTAAGTCTGATGACATCTATTGTCTCTTAGGAACCCTAATTTTCACATGTCAACTTCTTTCCTGAATTTAGTCAGATTCCATTTGATATCTTCACACTGTCTTTTCTAAATTTTTGAATTTCTGATTCATGGTGTAGCTGCTTGTTTACTTACATGTTTTAAGTCATGTTGGAGTGTTGTATCACAGTTTTTCTCTGAGCGTTTACATCTACTGAAAAGTTTTCATTCTTTTTTCTTTAGTGCTTATTTTTTCTGTTTATGATTATTCATGCTGGTATCCTATGGAAGGGGCTAGGGATATGGGTGGCTTCTTAGGTTTCTTCACTCAGGAGTGCTGTGTCACACCCACATCTTTAGTGTCACCTTGAACTCCTTCGACTGTGTCCTTTCCAAAGGCTCCATTCATGTCCCATATCCTATCATATCACCACCAGGGACCAGCCAGTCACTTAGCTGGGAGTGCTAGGCCCCCTCTCAGCTGCTGCCACAAGTCCTGGGTTTCCTGACCTTCCTTTCACCTGCAGACTTGGATAAGATGCCTCACTGTGGGGTATGGGATGTGGCATCCTGAGTGGCTACTGAAAGGGCTGAATGAGCCACCTGGAAGTGAGGTCAAGTTAACTCATCATGGGGTGAGTGCTGGTCAGTGGTTAATAGGAGACAGGAAAGGACTGAGCAGATAAACACCCTTCTTCTACACATTCTATACTTGCACCTATTTGGAGAATGTTCCGTATGCCAAGTGAATGCACCTGACAAGTGACGTGCTGCACCTCTTTGTAGCTCATCACGATGTGTTTCTAAAGGAACTTGTGCACAGATGTTGTCACTACTGTGACGGAAAGTTTCTCTAAGGAATGGCTCCCTTGGGTGTATGTTTGTCTTCTTTATTCTTGATATGATCTTGCTTTGGTAGGACTCATTATCTGCAACTTTCTTCTTCCTTCGCCAGCAAGCACCTGAGGTGCACACTCCCTGCTCACTGCCCTTCAGAGCAGTACCTTCTCAAGATGGCAGCCCCAATGCCTCAGACATGCCCTGGGAGCCCCACTGTTCCCACCGGTCTCAACCCCCTCAACATCTCCCCAGTCTGGGGCCACTGTCTCAGGAACCTTGTCACAATCCCCTCTCCTGGAGTAGTCCCTATCCGACTCTGCTTCCGCCATGGCTCACTCATAGTTCTGCTGGTCCTGGTGCTGAGTCCCCTCTCACATATAAACCAAAGTCTCTCTTCTGGTTACATCACAGGTATGGGCTCAGAGCAGCCTTCCATGTGTTGTTTTTAGGAAGCTCTATGGAGATTTAAATTTAAGTAGCTATCATCCCCTGGCTTGCCCTCTTACAGAATTACGTTTTTTGAGAGATAAAATACTATTTGATAAAGAAACATTAGCCAGAAATTATTTCTGTCAATGCAACTAGCATTAATTTTCCAAAAACAGGTTACTAAGAGATCACCGGGAAGCAATAAAAATAAAAAAGGAGGCGAAGCTGCCCCATTCAAATGTATAATTACTCCGGGGCATTTGACCCTACAATGCCAGTGTTCACAGTCCTGCGAGCTCTCTCTTTATAGTCTGCTGGGAAAATAACTGATAGTTGGTGCTGACCCAAGAACAAATGTACCTGTTGAGAAGGGCTCCTGGTGGCTAACGGGGCTCTAATTTATAAACAGAACCTAGCAGTCATTGCCAAGCAGGGGCCTCTCACGTAAGCCATGGATCAGAGAGAAGCCGGCACTGAACTGCCTGCCTGCACTGTGTTCTTGCTATCTGAACCAACCCTTAGAAAAGAGTTCCTGGAATCATATTTCAATCAATAAGACTGAGACTTTCTCACTTCCGTCGCAGCTGTGCAACTATATCCTCATTAGCATCTTCACTGACCAATCAGAGAGGCTCCATTCCAACCAATAAGGACAGTATTTTGGGGGCCAATCAAATTGTGAGGATTTGGGGTTCTCATTTGCATGAGAATGGACCAGTCAAGGACCACAGGCATGGACTCCTCTCTACAGAAGTTAGCACCTCTCTGGCTCGGAGAGCACACTTTCCCTTTCCACCAAAGACTGCGGACTGTGTGGTTCCTTGGCTAAAGCTGAACCGTCAAAAACATCTCACTGGACCATAGTGGAGCAGAGCTGTCTTGTCTTGGCAGACTGCAGCAAAACAGAATAGAATGGAGTGGAGCCATCTAGCTGGAAAGGGACCTCATGCCTAGGGCCACCGCATGCCCAGGGTCACCTCACAGTCACACTGTTCCACAGCCATGCTATGTTACAACTGAACTGTAACACTACTGAGCTGTCTTACAGCCCGGCTGGTCTGCAGCTGTGCTGTATCGCAACTGATCTATCTGCACTAAATAAAGCCTCTTCCTTCACTGCACCCCAAATTGGGGATTCCTGTCGGTGTTGAATTGATGTCATTGTTTGACATTGGTTAAAGTTGGAGAAGTCGCAAATATATCTACCAGAGAGGTGAAAAAGGACATCAATTATCTTTACGTGGCACAAATAAATACTTGTGGTTTAGAGTAAAATATTCAGTGACAACATATAAATTGATTTAAAAACAGCATAGGCAGGAAAGAGAAAAAACGGCATAGACAATAGAGGCTCTATTCATCTCTCTTGCAACCAAATCAAAGTTGTGACAGAAACAAGGAGCAAACAGCAAGGAAAGTCGCCCGGGATCTAGATGAACAAGCCCTACGACTAGGGAGAGAAACAATCACCCTGCAAGAGTAGAAGGTAGAAAGGAGTGAAGACTTGAGGCTGCCAGTCCTGAGCAGCTGAGTGGGACATTGGCTGCTGCAGCGGCAACTGCAGCTGCAGGCACCTCGTAAACGGGCCGTGTCTGCAAATGGACTTTCGCCGGGTGACAGACCTGCTCACTCTGAGCACCAGCGCCGGGTCAGCTGCACAGGGGGCACCAGGGACTTACAGGTGGACACTGAATTGTCGGAGTAAGGGCCAAAGTGAGACTTGTTCTGTAACAGAAGTGCCGGCAGTATCCACTGTTCCTCTGTTGAGCCCTCCCCCTTCCCGGTGTACGGACTCAGAGCTGCCACAGCTGAAATGTCATCAAACTGGATAACAGAGGTCGCTCTGCCCAGAGGATTCCCTGAAACTCAGCCTCCCCTAATTTGTGGTCCACCCC